AAAAAAAACTTAAACCCCAAACCCCTAACGCCTAACCCCTAAACCCTGATACCTAATAACCTACTTTCAGCCCAAACTTCAAGTAATATCACAAGCCCGCAAGGTGCCACCTTCGAAAGGAATTTCCGGAACCTCGTGTGGAATGGGTTTCAGTTCCGATGCATACGAAGAATAGCATTGTGAGGACCTCCATCCGACACCCGACTCGTGTTGCCTCTGACCTGATTCGGGAAGAACTCAGAAGCATGAACCTCCTTGCATCCTCGAGCCCTTCGACAAAGGCTGTTGCTGAGTTTCTCGCGAGCGATCATGAGCTTGGTGACAAGTATGCAAACCACCCCGTGACACAAGAAGCCTTAAACGAGGGGTTTAGCCACGAGCAGATTCAACCGATCTCTGTATACTTCGATGGAGTCCAGTACACAAAGAATGAGAACTTCTTGGGATTCTATGTTGCCAACTTGCGAACACGACAACAGCGACTAGTTTGGCTTCTTCGTGGTCTACTTGCAAATCAGGTTATTGTTTCCTAGTTATCCTACCGATCTATCTTCGGGTGCCAGTAACTAGGGGGTTTAGGGTTTAGGATATTTAGGACCCATTATTGGAATTGCAACCAGGACTTTCTGATTTATGCCAATGTGGCTGCAGGGGGTGGTGCTCTGTCTGGCCGCTGCTTGAAGCTTTTCGGGCGGATGTTTCTGCAAAGCATTCGGATCTACGCTTGGCTGTCGTTGATTATAAGGCAGATTGGCCAGCCCTCGTGGAAGTGGCTGGGCTACGAACCTGGAGCCACAACGAGCACTGCTGTCCTTGTTGCCGTTGCGACAAATCGCAGTTTGATGAGGTGGCCCAGTGGACTTTGAGAACGTGTCCATATGAATCTTTTAGTGATGAGGATTACAGGACTTATGTCCGAGAGAACTTCAAGGATTCCGCCTGGGCTCTTGGGGTGATAGATTTATTGGTTACTTGGGCCAAGCTTGGTGATTGCAGGTATGCTTTAATAGGTAATAAACTTTGTAGATTCTAGATTCTCAAAATGAAACCACTAAGTCAAGATCTGAATCAATGACCTCCCGAAGGATGTCACAATCGCCAGCCCCGAGATGCAGAACGCTGTGTACAATCTGCTACTGTATAAACACAAGCCACGGGGCCGCATTCTGACAAAGGCTTTCCCTGCACTGGGCCTCCCGAAAGGAAGTCGTTTGGAGCCAGGCCAATCGCTACCTGATGTGGGTTTGTTCGAGAGCCAACAGACTCCCTTTACATGCCAATTTTATATTGGAGGCGAGAAGGGTCGGGTCTTGCACGACAGCCCATTTCTTCACATTCCTGGTGTGAGTCTTAATATTTGGAATATCGATTTGCTTCATACGTGGCATTTTGGACCTATGTCTACGTTCATCTCAGCGGCTCTCACAAGACTACTGAAGACCGACATTTGGAGACCTTCGATCGTGGGGCTAGATCAGCAAGAAATGAACAAGCTTGCTTTGTTGACCTTGAGAGCTGAGCTACAGTCTCATTACAAACTCCGACGACAGAATGACCCGAATTGGTCGAAGAAGGGCTCCGAGGCACAGCTCATAACGAAGCCTTAACAATCCAATTCAATTTTTTGGTTTCCATATTTTTTTGGTCTCAAACCAGTTTTCGCCCAGGCCTGAAACCTCAACCAGCCTCGTCCCTGCAGGTCTGGAATCTGACGATGACGATGCTTTCCGACAAACACTTGAAAGCCAAAGCCGCCGAAACTCACGGCCTTCTCGCTTTCGTGTGTGAGATGCTGATTAAGTATGAAGGTGTCTTGTCTAGCACCGGCAGCACCGAGGATCAGTTGTTCTTCCAGTTGCTGAAGCATGCTGGGAATGCTGCCATGGCTTTTGATGATGTCATGGCCCAACATGGCCGGCAAATCAGCGAAACAGTTGCTGAGCAGATGCTGATGCATTACAACCGCTTCATCGTGCTGTGTAATCGTGCTGGGCTGCCGCTGCTACCGAAAGCTCATCTCATGTTCCATTGCATCCAGAGAAGTCTCGAGCAAGGAAACCCGAGGACTTATACGACTTACGCCGACGAGTCTTATAACGGGGCGATAGCACGGGTTTGCCGTTCGGTGCACCGCAAGGGCTGGGCTCTGGCGGTTTACAGAAAACTGCAGATGATGGAG